GTGTGTGTGTGTGTGTGTGTGTGTGTGTCTTTCCTTTCTCCCTAACTAATTTTTATTTTGCTGACATAACAAAAGAAATACCCACGCACATGTCAAGCGAAGTGAACCAAGAGAAACTTTATCACCAGAATCGAAACCAAAAAACGGTCTAATCGTGGTCACTATTCTGTCACTCTACGTCTGATTCACTGCTTGATGTGGCGGTAAATCGTCCGAGAGTATTAGCAAATCGATGCACAACACGGAACAGTGCTAGGTCACCCCATGATGATAGAGCGGCGTTTAACCTCGATAAGGAACTTATGCAATAAGATGACTTTCATGGAGACCAGTCATAGATTTATACAGTGTGAGAGGCAGCACAACTCATGATTAGAGAGAAAAGGAAGGGCCTGGATGAGAAACGGGGAGGGCGGAGGATGGGGGATGGGAGGGGGTGGGGTGTAGAATAAGACAGGTTTTATTATTTATTGTTGTTGCTTTTTCAAAAGGGGATCGGGGTGTATTTACGCGACCATCGACAAAGTTTAGATCATTAACGGGTTGGGCTTTTGACCTTGACTGCCACGGCCAACCAGAGCTCAGTAAGAGGGTAACAGCATCCCAGCCGAATGACCGAGATAAAAATTCCTGCCCACTCGTGAATTGATCTCGGGTCTCTTGTATTCGAATGCGACAGCGAAGTGCCTAACTACTACACCATAGACACTGATGAATGAGAGGTGAGATAGATAGATAGATAGATAGATAGATAGATAGATAGATAGATAGATAGATAGATATTTTTTGGGGGGTAAGTGTTTTACGGCGATCGCAACTGAATAAGGTCATATGAGCGCGCGGGACACACTAAACATTTTCCAGGTGGTAGGAAATTTTGAATTTTGCCCCAGTTGCGGCCGAAACCTACTCTTATCTATTTTAGACCATCAAGGCATCTTTAATGTGCACAACTTGCACACGGGACCTCCGAGAAGGCTAGGTGTAGATCGTTCCTACCAGAGGATCAGAGGTGTGACTAAAAGGCAGCAGTAAGAAGGAGCCAAGGAGAAGCAGTGGAAAGGCTTCAAAAAGGGTCAGGAGCCCAGAGGAAGCGGAAAAGGAGGTGAGGGGTTGGAAGCAGGAAGTAGAGACGATAACAGACGACAGAATAATACTAGAGAAAACGAAAGGAGGTGAAAGGAGACAATTTTAGAGAAGAAAATGTTTCCATCGCTATCCGGATTCGAACCAGGGATCTTTGAAGGAGAGGCAAACACCTTAACCTCTAGACCACGAGAGCCCTCATAGATAGATAGATACATAGATAGATAGCTAGATAGATAAATAAATAGATAGATAGATAGATAGATAGA